CCGTTATTTCTGCCCAATTCAATTAATTCCTTGGCACCTTCTAGAATTTATTTTCCAAATGTTTAATTTGGGGTGGGAAATTTCTTTAAAGACTGACCCCTTTTGGCATCAAGGGGAAGGAAGTTAGCTACTTACAGGTCCCGAGAGACAAAAGCAGGGCAAGACCATGCTGGATAACTCTGCCCTGGGCATAGAGATGTGCAGAGAGGAAAGCTCAGAGGCTGAGCTGCAGCAGGAGATGGGTAGTGGTGAGCTGAGGGTGGCAGCACACCCCTACACCTGCCCTCCTGCACACAACCCTGGCCAAAACGTGACAGTCACAGAGCCCACATGCCACCATCCTCATGGTGCTCCACACCAAGCCAGAAGATCAGGGCTTATCGTCCTGAAAGAGGGTGGGAGAGGAAAGGATGAGATTGCCCTCAGCTTAAGTTCTAAGCTCAACAAGTGGGTGGGTCCTGGCATGACAGAGCTGGCCAAGGATAAGAGATTGAAGCAAAAAACAAGAGGTTTCTTACACCTACCCCCAGACAGGTTGCTACTGGACACCCAGAAGTTACCATCACCCTAGGCATAAGGCAAAATCAGGGCATTTGGAGTGAGCATCTCCCTCAATATTTCTATTGATTAGCTGAGCAGAGATTTTCCAGGGTGTCCACCTGCACTGGAACTTCTGAAGGAAACTTCTCCCATCGTAATAACTTCATTTTTCAAAACAAGCCCAGACACAAACATTTAAAGGGCCCATTTACATGGTGCTTTGTGGGAAGTGGTGGATGTGGCTTTGCCTGTGCTCCAAGTGAAGGAGGTCAGGTGAACCCAGCTGCTGAGCAAAAAGCCCCAGACTAACTAAATGCCCAATTTTCATCTCATGCAGAGCAAGTTCACTTCTGCCTGCAACCTCACCACATAACCTCAGAGCAACCTCCACAAAGACAAGGATCTTCCCAAAGCAGCTTCAATAAATAAGCCTGGGGTTTTACTTACTGCAGGAAGCATTTGGTACTCATCTTCCCCACATTCAAGTGGGCAACAAGACTTACTCCAACCAACAAACTAAAACACCTTAAGAATGGGATTGGAGAAATTCTGTGCTCAGTGGATGCTGCAGTCAAAAGGAAAGCAGAGGGGAACAGGCCACACTAAGAGCTTGAGAATCAGATAATTCAGCTTAATCACACAGTAATGAGTCAAGTCCCAGATAAATAATTTTAAAAGAATTTGGGTTTTTTCCCCCATGAAGCCTTCCACAAGAAAGGGCAAAGACGTAGGAAATTTTCTGCACAAGGGGAGAGCAAATAAATTTTGCCTAGGATGAAAATGAAAAAAATTCCTAACCAAAGAGGCTCTGGATGTGTAGATAGGAGATAGGACAAATGAATATGAAAAGGTGGATGCTCAGGAAGGCAGACACTGATCTTTCATAATTAAGACATGAGAGAGAACTGGAAGAAGTATGAAAGGTTCTCCATGGGAGAATGATGGTGAGAAGTAACTACCTGGAAAATAATTCACTGGTAAAGACTAGATTAGCCTGCTAACACTCACCAGACACACACACACACACAGGGGAAGCAGCATGTCCTTATCATACCAGCAAGACACCAGCCAGGCTCTTGCTTCCTCCAAATGCACTTTATTCTTCCTTATGGACATTTCCTACCTGCTTTCAGCCTTGATGACCTTCTGCCTGGACCACCATCCTGCTCTAGAGGCCAACTGTAAGTGCTTCTAGGGCAACAAATTAAATCTAAGCAAAAGCATCCTTCATCCTGGGCCAGAAAGCCCTCCATGCCCATACCTCTGGACATGGCCTTTCTTTCTGGTTTAGGCAGGGCTCCAGCAGCAATTAGTAATTTACAACCCATCTGTCCACCACCAAGAGGTATTTCTCTTTGAAGGACAGGGGTTTATATGAAAGCTATGTGCATGGGCAGCGCAGCTCAGCTGTCCCTCCTGACCCTTCTCTTTCCAGCTTCCCTCAATTCCCAAAGCAACAACTGCATCAGCTTTCCAAATTTCTGTGGGCTGGCCACGACTGCTCCCATCCCCACTGAGCAGTGCCACGAGCAGGGCTGTTGCCAGCACCAAGAAGTTTTTGTAAACCTCCTTAGGGCTTGGCTTGGACCTGAAGCAGAGAAGAGCTATGCCACAAGACTGTCATGCTTTGCAAGGACTTCATAGAATCACAGAATGTTTTAGGTCAGAAGGGACCTTTCAAGGCCATCTAGTCCAACCCCCCTGTACTAAGCAGGGACAGCTTCAACTAGAGCAGGTTGCTCAGAGCACCAGCCAACCTCACCTAGAATGGTTCCAGGGATGGGGCTTCAACCACCTCTCTGGGCAACCTGGACACAGTCTCACCACCATCAGTGTCAAAAATTTCTCCCTTCAATCTACTTAATTTCCCCTTGTTATTTTAAAGCCATCACCCCTTGTCCTGTCGCATCCAGCATCTGGTACATCTGTGCTGCACCAGACCAGACACTGGTTTACTGGCCAAGGGGAGGTGACATGACTCAGGGGGAGGTACAAGCCACATCTGGTGGGAATGTGGTGATGGAACAAGGTTGGCTAACTGATGTGTAAATAGCCTGGGCTAAGAGGACCACGCAGGTTGAGTCAGGTCAAGCCCCATCTCTGTAGCTAATTGGGCACACAACTGTAAGGAGTGAGGAGGCATCAAGCTAAGCACAGGCTTGAGATTCAGGCTCCATTCCCCGGTCCTGACTTGGAGGACTTCATCCTCAAAATCTTCCTTTCTCTTGGCCTGTGATTTAGGCTGCAGGGTCTTTGGGGAGGACAACCTCTGTCTTCAGCTCAGCTTCAGGGCACATACGAGCAGGGCAGATGCTTCCCAACTCACACGTACACCCAGAAGTGGCTAAAGAAGCCAGTAGGTATTTGCCATCATCCCAGCAAGCCACTTAAGATACCACCAGTGAACATGTGCCCTGAGGAAGTATTGGAGGTGCTACAATCTGGTCCTTCATTGCACATAGCCCTGAGCTGAAGAGGGGTGAAAGTGAAGGAAAAGGGCTTTGTTTGGAGGAAAAGGCCAAGAGGAAGCAACACGTTACTATTCCAGCAGCCTGTTCCCAGTGGATGAGGAGCACCCACACCTTGTGCCATACAACACAGGCAGGCAAGGCCACAGCAGCCACAGGGTGCTGCAGAAACCAAACGTCTGTCCCAGAGGTGTGCAAGAAGCAGGGAGACAGATCCAAAAGGAAAAGGGGAAGGAGCTGGAATGAGCACCCCTAGAGCAGGGCTACTCCATCGACCTCAAAGCTCCTTCCCACCAAGGAGGAGTCTAGTGAGCCTCCCACTTCTGCTGACATGCCAAAAAAGGTCTTCTCACCAAAGCCTTTGGAGACAGTCACTTCGCCAGAAGGGTCTAGAAAAACTAACCAAAAGCTGGTATTTCACCCTGGCTGCTGCAAGGCTTCAGCCAAGGAGCCCAAAACAGGTCAACAGCTCAGTGGAGAGGCCGTTGGCACAACCCAAGCTCTGCACTTTGACAGCCAACAGCACATTCAAGAGGGCTTCCAGATGGCTATCTCCTGCAGTTCAGCCCCTGCTGCGAGAAGACCCTTCTCAGGAAGGTAATCAAGGTGAGAAGAGGAGTCCTCCATCTCTCCTTCCTCCCATGCACACCAGAACAGCTTGGGCTACAAACCTTACGTGACGTTACCAGCAAGTTCATGGCATCAAATGGAGCCTCCTGATGGGAAATTCAGACCTTGCCACCCGTGTGGGAAGGAGAAGACGGCAATTTGGAGGCAACAGGCTCAGAACTGGAAGAAGTCACCTCTCACAATGACAAGAAAGCACCTGCTTTTCTAACTGAGCCATGAAACACCAGAAGCTTCTCCCACAAATTTCTGAAATTTTTGCCTAGGTCTCCAAGTTAAAGACCGAGGTCAGCACAGCCTCTGCAGCAAGAGGGTGAGAGGACTATTGCCATCACTCCTTCCAACCTCCTCTTTGGCCCAGGGTTTACTCAATGCTCCCATGTCAAAGTCCTAATCAGGTCAGCACAGCCTCTGCACCAAGAGGGTGAGAGGACTATTGTCATCACTCCTTCCAACCTCCTCCTTGGCCCATGGTTTTCTCAATGCTCCCATGTCAAAGTCCTAATAGATCCAAGAAACTAACCCATCTAGAACCAGGTTTTAAAGTTCCTCCAGAACAGAAAGGCCTCAACTTGCCCCGTGAGGCTCCCTGTAATATTACAACTTCTTAAAGCTACTTTTAAACTTTTCAAGGCACTTTGGGACAAGGGGAGGATTGATGTATGACACCAAAGGACAGAATGAATAAAGACAAATTTTTATCCATCCAGGTTGATGCTCTAGATTAATTCCACCTTTCTTCTCCTTCACGTCGAAACAAACACCCATCTTCACAACCTTTTCTCTGGACCCTGCTGGCCATGAAACAGACTGTGTTGGGCTGGCTTTCCCCCAGCGAACTGCACATACCTGATGGAGATAAATACAGTACCTTGCATACCTGCGGGACCAAAATCTTGCCTGGTGAGGAAGACAGCATGGTCGTGGTACTCGGCGTGCTGCGGGTCGGAGCGCTGCTGCGAGTGAGCCCAGCGGCAGACCTGCTCCAGGCTCCGCGACGGGTTCCCTCGCTCGATCAGGCTGACTGACTGGGGAAAGAATGATTTAAAAATTAAAAAAAAGGAAGAAAAAGAGGGTAAGTTAGTGGAGGTAGAAGGAAGCTGGCAAGAGTTTTGGGGTTGGAGGGCTTATCGGTTTTATCGGTGCTGATCGGTATCTAAAGGGCAGGGGCAAGAGGCTGGGGTCAGACTCTTCTCAGTGGTGCCCAGTGACAGGGCGAGGGGGCATGGACACAAACTGGAAGATGCCATCTGAACAGGAGGAAAAACTTATTTCTGGTGAAGGTGGTAGAGCCTGGAGCAGGCTGCCCAGAGCGCTTGTGGAGTCTCCTTCTCTGGAGAGATTCCAAACCTGCCTGGAAACCACCCTGGGCACCCTGCTCTGGGCGACCCTGCTGGAGCAGGGGGGTTGGAGGAGATGATCTCCAGAGGTCCCTTCCAACACCCAGCATTGTGGGATTCTGTGACTCATAAGCAGTGTTTCTCCACAGCTGGAAGCAACAACATCCCATCTTGTATCTGCAAAGCATCTTGCACTATTTTGTATTTAAAAACAGAAAAGAAATTATTCCTACAACTGGACATAGTCTGGTATGGGAGGGTATATGACCTTCCTTGGTCACACGAATGCTCAGGGCAGTAGCATAGAGGAAAGCAGCTGGGAAGCAAAGAGAATTTGGATCCCAGCTCCTGTATGGGCTCCTTGCTGAAAAGTCACAAGATTTTGGTGCTCAGCAAGGAGCAAAGCAATGTTGCCCCATGAAACCTGAACCACAGAGACTGGGACCCCAGTAGGAAATAGGTGGAGGTGTCCAGGAATGTTTCATAGCAGTCTTCTTGTCCTTCACCTCTTTTTTTCTTTGTGTTCAAGATAAGCATTTTGCAAAAGCTATCACTATAACATCGATTATGCTCTACAAAATGAATACTCTCATGCAGGTACCTGCTAAGCCACAGAGACTGGGAAGGAAGGTAAGAAACAGTGCCCTTCCCCTGGCTCTTAAATGGAAGCCATGGAGGTTTTACCCTACAAAGTGCAAGCTGGGAGCCAAGAAGCTGCAGAAGGACTCACTCAGGAAGCATCAGACCTAAAGAGTGGTGAGCTGAGATCTTGCCTGGATACATCTGATGCAAACATCTGCTCATTCCTGGGGCTTCAAGAGGCATTCTGCCAGCCAAGTAGATTTGTGTAACAAGTTGGATTTTTTCCCAAGACCTAATGGGGTTTATTTGTGGACCACCCATGCAGAGATCACCATGTTAAGTCACTAATACCCTTGCATCATGCAGGACAGGGACTTGCTGCAAAAAGTATTGCAAATTGCATTGTTTTAAAGAAAATCTTCTGGCTGCTGCACTCATATGAGCCTTAAAAAATAAATCCAACCTGAGAAACCACCTGAAACCTGCCCATGCTTTTCCTGTTCGTGCATGAGGCACCTGAGAGCTGCAGGACAGCCAGCAAAGGCTTCCAGGGCTGCCAAGTCAGAGCTGGGACACAGGAGATCCAGGTACTGGCTTCTCCTCACCAATATCCAGCTTCTGCCAACTTGGGAAGCCACCTTTGTCCCATCACTCACTGCTACCCTCAAGCTTCTGAGGATGCTCCTCATGGTTTTTCCCACACCCCAGAGCATGCAGATAAAGGCTGATCCCAGC